AGCTCACGTGGTCCTGAGGATAGTTTAGAGATGTGGTGACCTTCAGTAGCTCACTTTTAGAAACCAGTTTTTTAAGATCTCACAATGTAAGAGCATTGGGATCTAGTATCCAATGGATGAGGTTAGGTGTAACAGGGTTCTCAGTTGCAAGCTAGAGAAAGCAACTAGTTGATTTAGGTTGAAAAGGTATTTACTCAGTGACAGACTGCCCAGAAGGCTTGGAAATGGCGCAGGGACAAAGGCAGTTAATAAGTTACTAAATTCACAGCCAAATTCATACACAGCAATGGCAACTCAACACCAGATGCCAGGAGCTTACCTGTGTCCCCACTGGAATACAGGATACCAGATGTTGACCTGCTGTTATACACTGCTACTGTCAACATTCATCCTCCTGATCCAGTTTCCCTGATTCACCGGGGAAGGTGTGGTGTCTCAGATATTAAGCGAGGTTGGGATTGTAAGTTTTTGCTTTTTGAAAAGAAAATGGTCTGTGCCACCCAAACACTGGAACGAGGTTCAGATGCAGAACAGCAAAAAAAAAAGAAAAATCCACTGATACAATACAGATTTAGAAATTCCAAAAGTAAAACCTTTCAAAAAGCTTTTTATGAATAATTTAAAAATACCAATAGATAAATTATATGAGTTGTTCTGCCTGCACTACCCTCCTATTCTATACAGCACTCACTGACACCTACTTGTCAGTCCCTAAGGCATCTCCAAACAACTCCAGGTCCTATAATGACATTAAACAGTAGTCTGAAAAACCCCAAGAAGACTTGGAAACTAGGCAGAAACAAAGGTGATAAGTCAGCAGTATGCTTACATTCTGCCAAATGTTTGCTCTTAGTGAATTCAGGCTTAGAATAGTTAGGTGATGAATTTCCCTAAAAGTCACAAACCGGGTAAAGCTAAACACAGAAGTTCATGTGTGGTCTAGTACTCTTCCCAATAATTTCCCCAAACCAAACTCAGCTGTTCTGTCTCCTGTTCTGAAAAATCCAAGTGTGACTTAGACTGTTAGTTTGATGAGATCTTCAAGGATTAGGATTCTTCTCTCAGCATCTCATGAAGCGTTTAAATTCTCAAGCTTTCCCTGTTCTGTAATGTGCATCTGATCTTTTGTACAACCGTCGTCGTTTCCTAGTTTTACATTATTTATTGCAGAAAAAATATATTTAAATAATTTATGGCGAAAAAATGGTACAAAAGATTCTGATTCAGAATGTTAACAAGTGACCTTGAAAATTTTTCACATTCCTATTTTTAATATTCTTTTAAAAGCCAATTTAATACAAGATCAACAAACAAAAATAAGTTGGATTTTTATACACCAGCAATGAGAAAACTGAAAAGGAAATTAGGGAGCTAATTTCATTTACAATAGCATCTAAGAGAATAAAATACCCAGGAATAAATCTAACCAGGGACATGAAGGACTTATACAACAGAAGTTATAAAACACTGCTGCAAGAGATTAGAGAAGACTTAAATAAAAAGGAAGTTGTTCCATGTTCACGGATTGGAAGACTTAATATTGTTAAGACGTCAATACTACCCAAGTTGATCTATAGATTGAACACAACACTGATAAAAATTCCAACAGTTTTCTTTACAGAAATAGAAAAATTAATCTTCAACTTTGTATGGAAGGGCAAGAGGCCCCAAATAGCTAAAATAATGTTGAAATAGAAGAACAGAATAGGAGGATTCACACTTCCTGATTTTAAAATGCCCTGGTGGTGCAGTGGTTAAGAGCTCGGCTGCTGACCAAAAGGTCGGCAGTTTGAATCCACCAGCCACTCCCTGGAAACCTTATGGGCAGTTCTACTCTGTCCTATAGGGTCACTATGAGTTGGAATCGACTCGACAGCAACAGGTATACAGTTATAGTAATCAAACAGCCTGGTACTGGTATAACAATAGACACATATTCCAATGAAATAGAGCAGAAATAAACAAACATCTCTGGTCAAATGGTTTTTGACAAAGGTACTAAGTCATTTTGATGGGGAAAGAAGAGTCTCTTCAATAAATGCTGCTTGCAAAACTGGATTTCCACGTGCAGAAAAATGAAACAGGATCCATGTCTTACACCATACACAAAAAAAATTCAAATGGATTAAGGACCTAAATGTGCAAACTAGAACCATAAAATTGTTAGAAGAAAAAGCAGGGGCAACATTGTCAGGCCTAGCTTTCAAAAATGGATTATCTAGTAACAAAAGTACAAATGGCAAAAGACAAAATAAATAAGTGGGACCTCAAAAATTAAAAACTTTTGTTCATCAAAAGACTTTACCAAAAAAGTGAAAAGACAAGCTACAGACTGGGAGAATATCTTCGGAAACCATAAATCGGTAAGAATCTAACCAAAATACATATAAAAACTTTGAAAGGTTAACAACAAAAAGACAACCCATTCATAAAATGGGCAAAGGACTTGAATAGACATTTCATCAAAGAGGACATTCAAATGGCCACCAAACACATGAAAAGATGCTCAACGTCATTAGCCATCAGAGGTGCAAATCAAAACTACAGTAAGATACCATTTCACTCCCACTAGGATTGCTAAGAAGTCCTGAGAGTGCAGTAGTTAAGCTTGGCTGCTAACTAAAAGCCCAGCAGTCTGAATCTACCTCAGAAATAAACCCTGCGGGGCAGTTCTACTCTGTCCTGTAGGGTCACTATGAGTTGGAATCGACTCAAGAGCAAGGGGTTTGTTTTTATGGTTTTGGATGGCTAAGATTAAAAAAAACAAAAACAAAAACAAAAAAGCCAGCAAATGTTGGCAAGAATGTGGGGAAAACTGAACCCTTATCCATTGCTGGTGGGAATGCAAAATGATACAGCTGTTGTGGAAAAGAATGTGGTGGTCCTCAAAAAACTAAAAATAGAACCACCATATGACCCAGCAATTTCACTCCTAGGAATATACCCAAAAGACTTGAAAGCAGAGACTCAGAGACCTGTATGCCAATGTTCATTGCAGCACTATTCACAACAGCAAAAATGTGGAAACCTAAATGCCTATCAGCAGATGAATGGATTAACAAAATGTGGTACATATATACAATGGAGTATTACTCAGCCAGTAGGAGAAGTGAAGTCTTGATACATGCTATACAGTATGGAGCTTGAAGACATTATGCTTAGTGAAATAAGCCAATTACAAAAGGACAAATACTGTAGGACTTCACTTACATAGACAAGAAAAAGCAAATGTACAGAGACCAGTTTATTAGCAGCTACCAGGGGCAGGAGGGAGGGGGAAAAGAGGGACTAATGGTGATGAGAAAATAGCATTAACAGTAGGGTTGCACAGACTTATTGTAATTGCTGTCAATAAGCTATAGACTTGTAAAAAGCTGAACTGGCAAAAGTTGTGTGATATATTTACAACAGTGACCAAAAAAAAACAGTAGCTGCTAAGGCTGCTTATGGATTTGGTTCCTTGGTTTGGAGGTTTGGGGTCATGGTTTCATGAGGCATCCCAGTTATTTGGCCTAATAACGTTGTTTAGTGCTTCTGTTCTACCTAGTTGGTTGCGCAGTGTCCGAGGTCTTAAAAGCCTGCAAGTGGCCATCCAAGGCACAACAACTGGTCTCTATTCACCTGGAGCAACAAGGAGAGCCAAGAATAGAAACAGGATACGGAATGTGTGGCCAACTGCCTTCATGAATAACTGCCTCCTTTGCCATCAGACCAGAGGAACTGGATGGTGCCCAGCTACCATTACTAAACATTTTGATCAAACATTCCATAGAATCCTGATCAAAAGGGGGAAATTGGAAAACAGAAAATTAAAATTCTCATGGACTCAACTTTCTGGAGCCATGGAGGTTAGATGAATCCCTGAAACCACCGCCCTGAGATAATCTTTAAACCTTCAAACAAATATATCCCCTGAAGTCATCTTAAAACGGAACAAGTTTAGCTTAACTAGTAAAAAAGGTCTGCCTTGAGCATTATGATCTTTTGAGAACTACTATATGGGATCAAATTAACAACTCAAAAGATTAGATATGAACCTTAGGGAGCAGTGAGTTTATGTTAACAAGGGAGGAACAACTTAGAAAAGGAGGGTGAGAATGTCTGCACAACTTAAAGAATGTAATCAGTCACTACATGGTACATGTAGAACTGCTGATTTATTTTTTGCTGTATATATTCTCAACAAAAAAGCCAATTTAAAAAATTCATAAAGGCTGTATTCATAATAGTTCCAAATGTCCATCAATGGGCAAATGGATAAACAAAGTGTAATACACTCATACAATGGAATACTACTTAGCAAAAGAATAAACTACTGATCCTCGCACTTACATGGAGAAATCTCAAAAGCATTCAGTTAAGGGAAAAAAAAAGCCAGAGGCGATTGAGTACCTACATGTATAAAACATTCTAAAGCAGGCAAACGCAAATGACAGTGATAGAGATCAGAACAGTGGGCGGAAGGGGAATGGGGAGCCAAGAGACTGGAAAGGGGACAAAAGAGTGATGGTTATACAGTTGTTTACATTTGTTGAAACTCCAGCGGTAAACTTAAATCTATCACTTCAATTATAAAAAATGCATCAACATCCAGTAAGTCACAGAAATCACATTTCCTAGTTCTGGACAGACAGAACATTAAGCATCAAAGATTAGGTTTTAAAGATTATCACAAGAAATTATTAACATAAGAAATTGGTAAGATGCTAATTTAAAGTACAGAATTCCAAGGCCTGCATAACAGAACTCTTCTTATAGATCAACCATTTAAAAAATTTGTTGTTGTTGGTTGACACTGAGTCGTTTCCACCTGTGCAGAGTAGAACTGCTCCACAGGGTTTTCAAGGCTGTGACCTTTCGGAAGCAGATCACCACGTCTGTCTTCTGAGGTGCCTCGGGGCGGGGTGGGGGTTTAAACGGCCAAACTTCCAGGTAGTACTCGAGAGTGCTGTCTGTGCTGCCCAGAGACTATTTAGAAAACAAGTACTCTAAAAATATTCACAGAAGCTGGCAGATAACAAAATATTTGTTTTATTGTAAAATTAAAAGTAGACAAGCAAATGTAGTTACAGTTCCAAAGCACAGCAATACAAATGTATAAATTATTGCAGTTTTAAAAGAAAAGTGTAACAGCCAAATAATGTCTAAATAAAGTTTTTCGAAAACAACTTGGTTTTTTAACCACAGTAGTTCCATTTTCTTATTCTAAATGTCTTAGCAAAATTCTGTAAAAAAAACATTTCTAACATCAAAGAGAGATTAAGTTCAATGCCCATATGAGACTCAGATTTACATCAAGGCTAACAGAGATACACAGAAGTAGTAAAAAAGTAGGAATGATATTTAATAGAAGTCACCACGGACACTTTCTAGATTACCTCATTTTGGAAGAAATGGGATGGAAATGAACATTCCAGACATGTTGAAGGAAGAAATCCACATTTACTAAAATTTCCTTTTGCTTTATGGACAGTTGGGGAAAGTTCAACCTCTTTTTTGAGTGGGGCTAGGGATGAAGGACAATTCTCATCTCCATGACTTCTGTCTGACTCTGGTAAACTTAGAATTGTAGAATAATCCAATATCACTAAAATGTGTTAGTAATCTGGACTGAAAAGAACAGAAAAGTGTATCTTACAAACTTGATGCTAAAAAAAACCTTACTGTTAGAGACTCACTATGATATAGTTCATATCAAGGTAACTATGGTCACAAGTCGCTTGATCAGTCAGATGCATTCTAACAAGGGCAATAAAGAAAGGAAGTGAAAGGAAGAAAACACTGAGATATAAGAGAGTGCCCTGTTATTCCAAACAGCATTATAGCCCTCCTCCAAGATATCTGCTTTGTGCATTACCAGGTGCCGTAGTTATGCCAGAGACCTATTACCTTATTTATTCTGGTAAATAAGCTCCCCTCTACCCCTATCCCACTCTCACAAAATTTAACTTAGCAAAAACAATCTGTTGAGAGAGTTTTATCTTTTAGTGACTTTCACCACAAATTTCCTCAAATAATTATTCTCAATAACCTAAAGTTAAAAAGGCAATTAAACACTGAAATGAAAAGTCAATTACCTCTGCTTCACAGCAATATCTGAATAAAATACATAAAAAAAAAAAATTTTTAGAGTACTAAACTTCTTAATAAGTACTCAAAAATATTTAAATATCTTACTTGAACATAAGCAATGATAACATCTATCAGTAAACTAACTGGCCTAAGTCAGAGAAAGTAACACTACAAGAACAATTCCATTGTACCACTTAAAAGGTTTCACGTATATGTAACCTAAGTTTACGCTCACTAAACTGAACCTCCCAGTAACAAGCCACACATACATTATTCTTTAAAAATTTCTGCATAAGTTTAGCACATATACATTCTGTATTACATCTTATATTAACAAAAGCATCTCCTGCAAAACAAAACCAAAACTCGTAAATATTAACACACAAATAGGTCCAAATTTTTTTAAAAAACTAAAAAACCTAGCAAAAATTGACAGACAAGCCTCAACAGTGTCAACAAGGTAAAGAATACATAAACAAATAAAAAAAAGAGACTACTTTAAACCATTTTCAGTGACAAAGTATATAGTAAAATGAAAACCCAAGAAATTGCAATGTATGTGTCAAGATGGCAACAATAAAATAGAATATATTTGCACTATATTTCTGAAATCACTTTCCAATATGAACTTGATATTTTAAAAATAATCCTTAAATGTATACAAAAATGGGCACTTTGTGGTGAAATGAACATAATAATTCTACAGACTAAGAACGTTTCTTTGCTCAAACATTCTGCATAAGAAACTACATCCTGGAACAAAACACTATTCTGCTGCCTGAATCATCTATTACTGGTATCACAATGTCTTAAGTGCATGCCTTTTTTTAGACTAAACTTAGGTATTAAATACTACGATTTAAGGATAATACGATTCTCTCAAAATAAGAAAAAGTATTTTTAGCTCAATTATAAAGCTGAAGAGATTTTAAAACTTTTAATCTTAACAATCTCATATAGTCAAAACCACTTTTGACTTCTAACTTTTTAACTCAATTCAACTTCTCTAGTTATGAAACTTAACTTGAAAAAATTACATGAGTATTATTTCATTGCGCTTAATCATACAAATTCTAAAAATGTCAGTAATGGCTGATTGGCCATCTGCCTTTTGACATTTCTGAAACTGAAGCTACAGATTATACTGAGGTTTTCTTCTAAACTTCCTTAATAACAAAATAGTCACATCTACCAAAACCATTAGTTGTCGTATTGTACGTTCTCTCCAGTTAGAATTCAACTCTGACCCTTGTCCTTATAGCTGCATACACAATGATTGCATATTTAATCAAGAAAACTAATATAACATAGGTGTATACATGTTTACAAATTATTTGGATAAACTTCCGTGCAAAACACGTCAACAAAAAAAATTTCATCCAAATAAAATACTAGTGTGAATACCAGCACCACAGATATTTTTAAAGAGCACCTTTCCTTTGAAGAGCTTAAGCAGAAATATCTAAATGGAACAAACGAGTCCCCAGTTAAGACTTAACACCTGCATAATCCATCCAATCGTTCCAAACTGATTAGTAAGCAGCTACATATTTGCCAGAAACTCTTTAAGAGATAAGCAAACACTTTCTTTGGATGACACTGTTTATTCAGGACTGCACTATATGGCTCATATTCTGGAAATATGCTGCTACTGATGTATCAAATGCAAACACATCCCGAACTTTTTAATGACTATCCCTAAGTGATCTAAATAGAAGCCTAAATGTGGATGAACACACTGGCTGGTAAAAATCTTAATGAATTATGCCAAAAAAGAGTAAAGTCAAATTCGAAAATGTGACGTAACAACTAAGCACACTACTTACTGGCATAATCAGGAAATGTCTTTAGGCAGCTTGTAAATTTATAGAGAACTTGATATTGCACATATTAAAGTTAAAGCTTATTAAAACTAAAGCAGTGCATCCCCATTCCCTGGATTTTAAATTCATTTTGGATGTCCCAAAGAACTGAGAAAAACTGAATGCATCCTTCAAAAGCTCCCTGCAAAAAGTAATTATGTCATACTTAAGAAGGGAAAAAAAGAAATAAAATAAAATTGATGGGATTATCAAATACAGCCCTCAAGTTAATTTAACACATTTTAGCATTACAAAAAGTTGTGTTCTACCAGATTGAGGTGTCTGCTTTGTCAAATACTGTTTTTGTTCAAGACTAAAATCTGACCCAAGCCAGAGTAGGCTGCCAAATTTAAGGCAGAAGTCATTCATATATTTACGCATGAAGCTGCCAAGCAGATTCTCTCAAGCAAAAGATCTCCCTCATAAATACATTCTAAGCACCAGTTGTAAACAGAATTTAGAGCCCAATTTTACTCTGAACTGGTTATAGCTTTTACTGTAATACACTACTGAAAAACTTACCTAGCTGGTTGAGACAATCTATTAGTTAAGAACTCTCTGGAAGCATCATAAGCAACTTAAAAGAATATCCTTTTTAAAATAGGCTTATTTTTTTGAATTAGAATTTCTGTTTTTCTTGTTGTCAAGCAATCCTCTTTTCCTTTAGATTCTAAATTTTGGAAAAATACCCCACAGAATGCTTTCTTTGGGCACTAATTTCAAGGACGTTGATAAAGAATCTGGATAGCTTAAAAAATTCTTGAACCTTTACCCAAAGTGGGACACTGAATAGTTTTTAATTTTTGTCAAAGACAATTTCCAGCACATTCAATCTGAGGAAAGTTGGGATATTACATTTGACTGGCAAGTGAGGCTTGACTTACTCTATCCAAATTCTAACACATCAAAGCAATTAGAATGAAAGTAATAATGTAGTAGTAAAGACTTTTCTCTACGGAGACAAGTTGACATACAAAAACTGGATTAGCATTTTCTTCCTGAACCGAGAATAGTTTTTGTTAGAAAAAATAATGCATTTTATTTACTTGTATTTCATTAATTCCCCTTTCGTGAGTTACTAGGAGTTAAAACAATTCAACTAGATATATTTCTACTCCAAAATACATTTTTTCTTTGGAAAACAAGGTAATAGTTGTAAAAACATTGTATTAATAAAATGCAGCGATCTGAAATACGGATGAACATATTCACACATGAAAGTGTAAATATCATATATAGAGCCATTTAAATACACATTTATAAAGAGAATGGAAAGGTACCTAAAATAGCATTTATATATAAAATTTTCATATTAAAATATTGCTCATAATAAATAAGAGGTGAATATTATGAATTCTATTTCCCTCTTAAAAATTTTATTTAGTAGTTCAGACTAATCTAAGGAGTTTGTTAACCTTCTATAATTCTGACAGATGAATTATGTTAAATTATATTTAATAAAATCACATTGTAACAGTATACTGAAGAAGTCACATGTGGTAAGAATCAGAGAGGGGGCATTTAGTAATTATGGGAAAAAGATTCCCAAAATGATTAACCCTAAAAGACTAGAGTATAATGATCTGCTTTATTTGATGAAGATGTTAGTATCACCTTAAACACTGCAAATTTAATAACTGTATAAAAGACTGAACTATAACTTTCTTCAAACTTTGCGTGCCTGGCAGACCAATAAACCACAGAGCATATGAAGTAAGTGTAAGTTTAGTTCAGTTGTTTATGGGCAGGTGTGACTTCATTCCTGTGCGCCCCACTTGCAGACATGGTAACTTAGAATAGTTCTTGAGAAGCTGTTCGATGGCAACATGGCGGACATGGAGCTCTGAGGCCAAAGAATCTTTTTCTTGCACTTGATGTGTTAACTCTTCAAAAACTTCTGTAAAGATTTAAAAAGTAGTTTCATTTTTAATACAAAAAAAAGCTAACCCTATGATTTACTTCAAGTACTCTAAGCAAAATGAATGCATTAGGGAAATTTTCTCAATGACACTGATTTGACTCAGAGGAAACAGTTGTGTACTCCACAAAGTCTTTTAAGTTTTGATTATCCTAAAAAGTCTATATATTTTACACAGTCTAGCCAGCTGGGAAGGAGCCCTGATGGCACAACGGTTAAGGTCTTGGCTGCGAATCAAAAGGTTAGTGGTTCAAATCCACCCAGTGGCTCTGCAGGAGGAAGACCTGGTCATTTGCTTCAGCCTAGAAAACTCTATGGGGACAGTTCTACTCTGTCACATGGGTCGCTATGAGTCAGAACTGACTCAATGGCACCCAACAACAATAAGCCAACTGGGATACTGTATTCCTTTTCTCCATCAAGTGAAACATAAAAGTTATAAGCAATAACTACAGAGATGCACAGCAGAAATGGTGGCTATGACTGCATCTGAACCACGTATCAGTTACATTCTGCAAACAGGTTCAATCAATATCTAGTATGACTTATGGACAGGAAGTGCCACTAGTACCCAGGTCTGAAAACTCTTAAGAGGCTTTGGAATCAGAGTACTTGGATTTTTGAATATTTACTCCTACTCTTATAAGCTTCAGGCAAGTAACAAATTTTTAAATTTCCCTGTAAGTGTATCAGGGATAACAACAGTGAATATCTCACAGGGTTACTGTGAGGATGAAATAAGATCATATTTGTAAAGTACTTACAACAAAGTACTTGACAAATATAAGTTGCTATTACTATCGCTATTGTTATTTACTATTACTATTGTCATTTATATTATTCTGAGAGGCTGTGTCATCAAGAAAGATCACTAGCTTTGGACTTAAAAAGATAGGGGTTAGAATCCTTAGGAGTCCCTGGGTGTTGCAAATGGTTACCATGCGTGGTTGCTAACCAAAAGGTTGGAGGTTCAAGTCCATCCAGAGGTGCCTCAAAGAAAGGTCTGCTGATCTACTACTACTGAAAAATCAGCCATCAAAAACACCATGGAGAACAGTTCTCCTGACACACACGGGGTTGCCATAAGTCAGATACTGTCTTGATGCAAATGGTTAGAATCCTTAATCTGCTACTGACTGAATGCATGATCTCTGTAAGCAACTTAACAGCTTTAAGTACAGTTTCTTCAGTAAAATGAGAATACATTGAAAAAAAGAAAACAAACAACTGGGGAAATTTGAAAACTATTAACTGTTAGTGTTAACATATTTGATGACGTTAAGAAATTATTAGCTTTTTTTCAGGTGTTCACTATACTAGTCTCATTACTCTTGCATATGTTTCCAATTGTTCATAATTAAAACAACAAAGAAAACAGAGCTAACACCACCTACCTTAAAGAACTACTATGGAGCACACCTGCAGCATGCCTGGCACATTACCTGTTGCTGCTAAGTCAATTCCGACTCATAGTGACCCTATAGGACAGAGTAAAACTGCCCCACAGGGTTTCCAAGGAGCAGTGGTGGATTCGAACTGACGATATTTTAGTAAATAGTTAATAAAATGTTAACAATACGTAAAGATATGGTGTAGTCTCCATTTTCAAGTAAAAGAGAAAAACCTATTTCCCCTGCAGTTCAAAAAGAAGTTATTTTCTTAGTTTTTTTGCTCTGGAAAGTATTGCAGGTTCAAGTCTCATTTCCAAATTTAAATGCAGATGACGCCACCGATGCCCTGTAATACAGGATTTCCGGTATCAAAATTTTCTCATATAAAAAGCGTTGATTCCTTACCTTGGATTTGCTGTCGGAGCTTTGCATTCAGTTGCTGTACCTCAGCAAGAGTCATTGAATTCACTGAAACATAAAAATATATTAAATTATTGTCAAAACCTGAGAAAATAGGCTGCCTACATCAGTAACACAGTGCCATATTGAAAAAAATTATTTCCACTTATCTGCCAACACAACATTCAGCAGTACCCCAGGATTCATTCATTAACTTTTGCAGTTTGGAATAGTTTTCAAATTCTGACCTTAACTCACTGCCAGTACATAACCACCCTCTACCTGAAATAAAAGTTTCAACAAAAAATACTTAATACGTATTAAGTGCAGTGTATTCTGATATTTTGTATTATTTCAGTTTTTAAAAACTGCTAGTAACTAACCATTAAACTGATTTTGATGAAGCACTCTATAGTTCATGACCTGCACTGTGAAAAACACTATTTGAGTATTGTGGAAATAGTTTAAAAAATCAATCTATCTAGTTAGATAATTCATATGCAGAATTAACAAGCTGTATAATAGGAACCCATAGTCCCTTCTAGCTCTAAAATAACTTTAAGTCAAAATCACCTCAGCTTCTGTGAGTTTTTGCAGAAATTAGATGCAGACTGAATGAGTCACTTTTTCCAAGTTTAAAATAAATACACATATTACCTTTGACCTTTAGTAAAATGTCAGGTTTTTGCTTTTGAAATGCCACCTCCAATCTATTAGTCTTATAGGATGAGCAACGTTACTATGTGTGTTACTCAAAGGCTGAGGTTGTACTTCTAAACTATACGAACCCTGAACTTTGCAATTCGCAGTTTGTTGGTATTATTCAGTTTAATCATTTTGAGACTGCAGAATTTCAATGCTTAGGACATACTCAGGAGCATGCCAGAGAAGATGGAAGAGTTTTAAGACATCTCATTTTTTGCTAGGGTGAACCTGTCACTTTACTGTACTTATTACATCTATGATTCCACTTTAAAATTACTGACACATCACACATATATAATAATGTAAAACAAAACAAAACAAAAAACCAATCTTTTCTCCCCGTTTTACTTACATTCTTCTCTGCTGTAATGTGGGTGCTGGGTCTGAACAATGGCCTCTGGATTAGAGACTGTCTCTTCTTTCTTCTGTGATTGGTTATGACTATGAGACCATAATATACTATTATGGCATAAACTGGTACCTGAATCTTTTAACATACCAAGCCCAAAGTCTGTATTTTCCCTCTGCTCCAAAATTCTTTGTGTACAGCTTGAGAGGCCACCTGTAGTTCCATCTATCCATTTTGCAGAATACTTTGGTACTTGAGAGTCAAACTGTGGCAGTAACTTTTTATCTGGTTTATGCCTGAAATTAAACAGGTGATGCTGGGGATTTTTAGAACACTCAGAATCTGCATCTAGATCCTTATTTTGGGCATACTGTACAATCCAGTTTATCTTTTTACTCAAAATGGTTTTAACTTCTTCATAAGTGCTTTTTGAAAGCTTAGATCGAGGACAATCCTGGTTTGCAATCAAATGGTATTTTTCAAAGCAGTCTTTATGGCCCCTTAATGATCTAGTGTGCAAGAGATTAGATTTTGGTACTCCTGTAGGAAAAAAAAAAACCAAAAAACAGAAAAGTTGAGAAACTTTTATGTATTTTTTAATAAACTGCTTTAAGAATATGCAAATCTTAGTAAAACATGGACTCACCGACAATCTGTAAATCAGAAGAAAAATGCTAAAGAATATTGGAATAATACGTAAGATTTGGTCAGAAACGCTGGTGACACAGTGGTTAACAGCTGCAGCTGCTAACCAAAAGGTTGGCAGTTTGAATCCACCAGGTGCTCCTTGGAAATCCTATAGGGCATTTCTACCCTTTAGGGTTGTTATGAGTTGGAACTGACTCAACGACAACGGGTTTGTTTTGGTTTTAAGATGTGGTCTAACAATTTCTGTTTTAATTTATACAGTCAGTAATACTGAAGTGTTATGAATATCAAAGCCTTTCTTAGAACTTAATGATTCAATTTCAATCTTAGTTCAGAGACATGTTACTGCATACAATATAAACACTACTACTGAACTCATCAATTTAACTTTACAGAATCTTGGCATTTGTAATACTTTCTTCACTAATCCTCCTGAGGTCCACACTTGCAAAATTTTCTACTTCAAAGCTCAACAAGAGAAATGCTTAACAATTTTTTTTTTTTTTTTAAAACAGAGTAAATCGTGTTCTTAAATTATTATGTTGTTGTTGGGGAAAGATCAATCAAAACCGGAAAATACAAATTAATAACCCTAAAAAGTCAGTCAACTGCTTATATTTTTTCTTAAAAGAGGAAAGCTTCCAATGTGTTTTGCATTTGTTTTATTACAACTTTATTAAAATAATTTCATCTTCTAGAAGGAATGCATTATGTATAATTATTTTTCATATAATAGTAAATTCAATCTGCCAAGATACAACAGCCAGCATAATTCTTCCTCTCACAAATTCCTCACTATAGACCATAAACAATGAAAATACTTGTATTACACTTTATATCTCCCAACTTCCTAGTAGAATTTAAGTATCTTAATTGAACCCGTTGCTGTAGGAATTGATTCCAATTCATAGTGACCCTATGGGTCATCAACTGATTTTCAAAATACAGAAGTTCACACATTTTCATAAGTTCAAGCCACGTAATTCGAATCACACAGCAGTGGGTGTATACTGAAGGTGAACCAGGGATGTGGAGCTAAAAACTAATGCCTGGCAGACATAACCAGCCTACATCTGCTCAGCTCTGAAAACTAAGTGGAGAGTTATTCAGGTGCACTAGTTTTAAAAAAAAATTTTTAGCTGACTCATTAGAAAAAAATTACATTCTGTATTAGTCATCCATTGCTTTGAAAATCTAAGTTATTACAATTTTATTACCTGAACGCCAAACTCTGGCTAAGAGCAAGATAATGAAATATTTGCACTTTAATGGTATTAAATTAAGTCAGGTATAAAAGTGGTCGCAAATATTTATTTGTTCTAAAAAGATACAACATCAGGCAATGGTGGAACTTGCTGAGACGTCTAGAACAAGTGTTCGGTCAGGTCTATTACCTCAGAAGTGTGCTATGTAGGTAACACCTCCTGAATACGAACAGTGTATGTATATGTGAACCAACCACTCTCACATGGTAAAGTCAAATATCTGAGCCACGTTTCTTCCACTGAGTACAAAAATATATTAAAACAGAATTTCATTCACATTCTATTTACCACTTTGCTATTTGTACAGCAACGTGTGTATGCGTGTGTGTGTATTATTATCACTTTCTGTATGATCAGGTCAAAATTCTAGCAACATTAGAATACTTAAGTGCAAAATCTCAAAGCTCTACTTAATCATAGCGAGTACATCGTCAAAACTAGTTAAATCAACATAAAAAGGAAGTTCACGAGCCTTGCTTATGTGAATAAAAATATTAAAAATTTTATGTTTTAGATCATAAATAAGACAAAAAGGTAGTCAGCACAAGTTATAGAGCTATTCTGCTATTTGACTCCAAACATATTGCTCTAGGTAAACAGCAGGTAGGCAGAGAGAGCCTGAAACTTGTTTACTTTACTAACTTAGGAAAATTTATTAAAGCGCTTCCTTTCTCTCTGCAAACTCTCTTAGGCCTCATTGCCAACGCATGGCTAACAAACAGTCCCACTCAGTCCATGCCTCAAGCTCTAATATATGTATCAATTATTTAGTTGAATCTAAATATAACAAATTTTAAGTTTCTCCTTCAGTCTATACGAAAGCAAATTCTTTAGCTAGTGTATAAAAAGGGTTCCAAACTAAGCTACAGAAAATAATTAAATGCTGCTGTTCATATTGTCTTTCGCATTTATTTGGAAACCTCAGAAATTGTATTTACAAAAGATAAAAATGAAACAACTAATTTCCTGATGTACTCCAGAGCTTCAACAGTGGGTCAATACAAGAGTTACCTATTTTAAGAATAACGTGAGCTTTTAAAATTAAAGGTTTTTTAATCCAATGTTTTTCTTCATAATTATTCATGTAATATTAACTTTCCTTCCTCCAAAAATGATTTTTAACTTTTATTTAAACTCCAGAATCAATGCTAGGAACCACAATAAGGAAAAGATTATTGTTGTTGTTAGATGCCACTGAGTTGGTTCTGACATATAGTAACACTATGAAAAACAAAATAAAACACTGCCCAGTCCTGTGTCATCCTCACAATCGTTGCTATGCTTGAGTCCAATGTTGCAGCCACTGTGTCAATCCACCTTGTTAAGGGTACTCCTGTTTTATGTTCACCCTCTACTTAACCAACTATGGTGTGCTTCTCTAAGTTCCTCCTGATAACACGTCCAACGTACATGAGATGAAGTCTCGCCATCCTCGCTTCTAAGGAGCATTCTGACTGTACTTCTTCCAAGATGGATGTTTGTTCTTCTGACAATCCATGCTATATTCAATATTCTTTGCCAACACCATAATTCAAAGGCATCAATTCTTCAGTCTTTATTCACTGTCCAGCTTTCCCATGCATAGGAGGTGATTTAAAATACCATGGCTTGGGGTCAGGCACACCTTAGTCCTCAAAGTGACATCTTTACTTTTTAGCACTTTAAAGAGGTCTTTTGCAGCAGATTTGCCCAATGTAATAAATACACTGTTTGATTTCTTGACTGCTGCTTCCATGGGTGTTGTCTGTGGATCCGAGTAAGATGAAATCCTTGATTAACTTCAACATTTTCTCCGTTTATCATGATTTGCTTACTGGTTCAGTTGTAAGGATCTTTGTTTGCTTTATGTTGAGAAGTAATCCATACTGAGGGCTGGGGTCTTTGATCTTCATCAGTAAGCCCTTCAAGTCCTCTTCACTTTCAGCAAGCAAGGTTGTGTCATCTGCATATTGCAGGTCGTTAACGAGTCTTCCTCCAATCCTGATGCCAAGTTCTTCATATAGTCCAGCTTCTCAGATTTTTGCTCAGCATACAAATTACGTATGGTGAAAAGATACAACCCTGATGCACACCTTTCCTGATTTGAAACCATGCAGTATCCCCCTCGTTCTGTTTGAACAACTGCCTCTTGGTCTATGTACAGGTTCCTCATGAGCACAATTAAGTGTCCTGGAATTTCCATTCTTCATAATGTTATCCATAATTTGTTATGATCCACATAGTCAAATGGATTTGCATAGTCAATAAAACACAGATAAATACCTTTCTGGTATTCTCTGCTTTCAGCCACGATTCATCTGACATCAGCAACAACATCCTTTGTTCCACATCCTCTTCCAAATCTGGCTTGAATTTCTGGCAGTTACCAGTTGATGTACTGCTGCAACCATTTTTGAATTATCTTCAGCAAAATTTAACTGTGTGTGATATTGATGATTTTGTTCGATAATTTTCACATTCTGTTGGATCACCTTTCTTCAGAATGGGCACATATATGGATCTCTTCCAGTCAGTTGGCTAGGCAGCTGTCTTCCAAATTTCTTGGCACAGACAAGTGAGTGCTTCCAGCACTGCATCTATTTGTTGAAACATCTCAATCAGTATTTAGTCAATTCCTAAAGCCTTGTTTTCCCCCAATGCCTTCAGTGCAACTTGGACTTTTTCCTTCAATATCTGTGGTTTTTGATCATACGCTACCTCCTGAAATGGTTGAATTTTGTCAACCAATTCTTTTTGGTACAGTGACTTTTGGGTATTCCTTTCATCTTTTGATGCTTCCTGTGTCATTCAATATTTTGCCCAGAATCCTTCAAAATTGCAACTCGACGCTTGATAATTTTTTCTTCAGTTCTTTCAGCTTGAGAAATGCCAAGCCGTGTTCTTCCCTTTTGGTTTTCTAACTCCAGGTCTTTGCACATTTCATTATAGTACTTTACTTTATATGCATACAAATCATCTGGTCAGATGAACAAAAAATCACCAAACTACAATACTAAATTTATAGTGAAACATAAACACAAAATGAATTTCAAATTCAGGCATTCAAGAGAAAAGTCCCACAATAAAAGGCATGAAAAATAAGTGCTGCAGGCAAGAGCTCTGAATACACATTTAGAATAGCCTTTTATTGGACATTTCCACTTAAATGTCCCATAGGCTCCTCAAACTCACCCTGCCTACACTAAACTCCTCTCCCTCCATTCTCACCACCCAAACCTCAACCCAAACCTCCTCCTGAGTGTGGCACAACCAACTACTCAAGGAAGAATCCCAGGTATCCTCCTTCACAGCTTCTCTTGCCCCTCAATCCCAGATGTTCTGCGGGTCATCTTTATTGATTTTTCCATATAATGTAGCACCTACAATATCTCAAATCCTTCTACTTCACTCCATTACTACTCCCACTATACTATCTGGGTCACTCCATCACCTCCTGTCTATAGTCTTTACTTCCTCTAAGAAGCTTCCTCTAACCAATAGATACAGGTTAGGCTAACCTACTGTAGCATGCAACACACCAGATTTTACAATTGCCTGTTTACTGGCCTTTATCTCCTGTTAGACAGTAAGACTATTGAGAAGAGAGACCATATTTGTCTTATATGCATCCTCAGTGTCATAATGCCT